TGTCCCACTCCCCAGGGGAAGGTTGCTCCTAGGATTTGTAGATGCTCGTGGTCGAGAGGAATGACAGATGCCAGAGGGTGTGCAAAAACTCACGAAGCTTTGTTAGTAAATTACACACCTGGCCTTGAAGTTGGTGTGTTGGTCCCTGTGCTCCCAGTATAAGCACATGGCAGTGGGTTTGGATAAAGGGGTGGGGAGAAAGGGAAGAGAGAAGGAAAAATAAAAAAAAAAAAAAGAAAGAAGAAAAGAAATCACCAGTCCTGGTTCTAGAGTTGGTCCAGCTGATAGCATAGCCAGGGTCCTGGCAGTGCCTCCCAGGCTTCTTAGGGACACCTCTTATAGGTGAGTTTTCCCCTCCCTGCAGAGAGGTTTCTCACTTTCCAGGCAAATTAATTCTCATGTGCAGTCTTTTCTTTCAGACCTTTCTGGAAGGGGTTCAGAGGCTTTCAGTGTCTGGATCCCCCTACAGTCCATGCCCGTTTCTCCAGCTCATTCCTGTCCCTGCCATCTGCAGAACAAGGACGTTCATCCCATAAAATTGCTGCCCTTCCTCCATATGGCCCCTTCTCCAGCCACATCCTGGTCTTCCTCACAGCATGTTATTCCCGACCGTGCTTGGCTGGCTCCACAGCCATCTGGCTGTCGGTGTTTGGGGCATGCACATTATCCCCTTCTGGGACTCTACATTTTGCCCAGGGGCTGTTGCTGAGGGCACACTGGAGCCTGTAATACCATGTGTGATAAGGCAAAATGCTGTTAGAGGGACAGTTTGAGAAATTTGGGGCTAAACAAGTGTCTTACGAGCTGTTCTGCCCCGAACAGCCATGCTGCTGTCATAAGCAGTAGATGTAGGATATTTTCCATTTTCCCAGCTTGAGGTGGAAGAGAGCAGCTCTGCATCGCTGCCAGCCTTGCCCTTGTGAACTCCCAGCTTAAGAGCCTCTAGAAAAGGAACAGAAGTATGAATTAAAAGCTCATTCCCCAAACTACCTTGGGCGTTATCTCAAACGTGCTCCCTGTGTGACATCCACGTGTTGCTCCCAGATAAACTCTGTTGGGCCAGGAGACTTCTCTGCAAGGGGTTTGTCATCAGCACTGGCTCCTTTGTATTCCCAGCTCCGGAGTGTTTGGGGTTGAGTTTGTATATTCAAGTTAGCCCCATGCAGATAAATACTGCCCAGCTTCAGTGTGTCATGGGATCGGAGAGGCTGGGATGTCGGACAACTTCCATACTTCCAAAACACATTTTTAAGCTTAAAACCACTTCAATTAGAACAGGCAAAGCAGAGAAATGGCCAGCCTTGGGGGGGTGGGGGTGGGGAAGGGGGAGATAATTATTTTGCTGTGCACTTGGCCTTGGCGATTTCTCATGTTGGAATATTCCCAAGGTGTTTGATCTAAAGCACAAAAGGCTGGGGGATGCCTCAGCTGGGCTGGTTTTGGAGGAGATAACATCTGCTGGCACAGACAGCACAGCCTTCCCAAACCAGGCTGCTGAAGGTGACTGGAGAACTTTGCTTGCACATGTTCAAACAGCTCCTTCATTATTACCATCCATCAATCCCTCCGTCCTAGGCCAGTCCCTTGGACACCCACTGAGCCATCCCACTTAATTGGGACCTCGGGGAAGCAGTTCCCATTCTGAAGCTTGCTCCATTTTAATTAATGGGTAAAAAAAAAAAACTATGAATAAATAGGAAGACCATGACTAACTCCCATTTTTATTTCTCTTCTGCTTCCCATGCTTATCCCAGGTAATTTGCAGCAAAGCTTTAAGAAAGCCCATGCAAGGGATAGCCTGGCTGCTTGTTTTCTGCAGGTTTGGTCCTGCAAAGGAACAGGAATGCAAATGCTGGGAGCTGGGAAAGCACATGAATACCCAGGTGAGCAGGTCAGTTGTTGCTGGGATAACTCCTCTGTTAAAGCTAAGCTGGGATTTGCTCCAAAGGCTGGGGGAACAGCAGTGGTGGTGTTTAATCTGGGCATCATCTGGATTTGGCATGCTGGGGACAGCCACTGCAAAAGAAAGGCATCTGCTTTTAGGAAAAAAAAAAAAAAACAAACACCAAAACAAAACAAAACAAAACAAAACCACCAGTTTTAAAGTAATTCTGTTGGTTTTCTTCCTTGTGGCTGGATTTCTGCTGAGGGTACAATGAGGAATGCAGCTGATCCGGGCACCTGTATCCAAAATGGGATAGTGCTGTAGACCCTGCGTGGTGCCTTCCTGGGGTGCTCGGGCTCCCCTTGCCCTTTACAGCTTTGGTGTCCATGGCTAAACCAGCAGCACTGGGGGCTATGAGCAGGCAGAGGCTGTGCTTTTAATTAGGACCTTTATTAACAATAAATGGCAAGTGGGGAAGGAGGCTGGGCAGGGAAAGGGAGGGCACACTGCTGCCAGCACCAGGAAACTGTCTCTGGGGTGGGAGAGGAACTGGGAAGAACCACGGCAAAATTTGGTCTCTCTAAGGCCTTTCCTGGAGCCTCCAGAATGTGGAACTCAGAGTCATCTCATCTCAGGGGTCTCCTGCCTCCCCTCACGGATGTTCTCGGTGTGTAAAGACTGGTTATAGGGCACGTAAAAAAATAATAGCATGAGGTGAAAAACAGTGGGAAATGTGGGTGGGCAGAGAATGGCTGCTCCAGCAGCATCCTCCCCCCGTGCCAGGGTGTTTTGACAAGCTCGTTCCCAAGGATTTACAAAGGTGGCTGCCTATGACACGAGAGAGGCTTCATCTTTTTCCTTTGCTTTGGCAGTTTTAGGTCAGTTTAATAAAACACAAGGAAAAAGGAAACCTTCAAGGAAGTTGGTGCCAAGCTGGTGACAGTTTGGGAAATCAAAAGCTTTGCTCTTGACTAGCTTTGCTGCCAGTGAGGTGGAAGGAGCAGCCTGGGATCCCTCACAGCTGGTGAGTGGCGTTGGTCACTGCTCTTGCCCCACTTTGGCGGTGGGTGGGTGCTCTGACACCTGCATTAAATCAAATGTGATGCAGGAAGATGGAGGAAGGAGTGAATAAGCTTATTTCAGGATGCCAGGAGGGTGCTGAGGCCTGGGTGCAGCTGTGAGGACAGCGAGGAGAGCAGCAGGGACAGGCTGTGTGGGCACAAGGTGGTGAACAAGCATTTGCAGAAAATAGGAAGTAGGTGGGATGTGCTGCTGGCATCACTTTCATCACACAGCCCCAATCCCAGGAACTCCATGTCTGGACATCCAATCTGCTCACCGTTCCACTGTTCTTCACACCAGCTGCTCCATACCGTCCTCTGCCACATTATCCAGCCCTGGATTTAGCACAGCTCCAAAGCATCTCCGACCCTTCTCCTTCCATGTAACTTCCCGTTCCTCGGAGAGCACTGGATTTGCTGGCAGGGCCGAGCGTAATACTTCACTTGGTGCCTGACAGATTTTGTGCTCTGACATTTCCCCCTTTCAAGCACGCCCATTTCCAAGAGGCAGACCCTGTTATGGGCTGTTTCCCTCGTGGACAACTCACTGGTGTGCCTTGGCTTGTGCCCTGGTGCTCAGCAATGGCCTGTGCCCAGAGCCAGGGTCTCAATCCTGCTGTGAGCAGGGCACACAACCAGCTTCATGCGCAGCCAGCTTTGCTACACCAGAATAAAGCAGAGCCAGGGCTGCAGCTGCACCTCCTTCCTTCTGAGATTTAAACTCAGGCCCTCGACCTCTGTTTGGGGTTCTAAAGTTAGGGGAAAAGGAGGAAGGTGTGATGCCTGCACCAAAGAGCCCGTTTCTGGTCGTGATGTCCTCGGGTGCAGTGGGAAGGGGAAGGGCATTGTGCACCAGCAGTGGTGGTGCAGCACCACAGCGTGATGGGTACAGGTGTGGGGGGCTGCTCCATTCCACGCACGTGTCCCCACCAGCCAGGATTTACCTTCCCAGCTGCTCTGTAGACCTCAATATTTAAGTACTGATTTGATTTATAGCACTTTGGGGAGAAATCAGAGAGTGCATGAAGGATTGAACAGCGCACATGGCGAGACAGAGTGGTTTCATTTCCCCAGACTGACACTCACAGCACTTTCCTGTCCTGCTGTTTTTAATTTCCACTTTATTTTTGTACATTAATACTACTCTGGGGCAGTTGATCACACATTACTGTCACACACTCCCCTGGAGAATTCATCTTTTCCTGGTGGCATCAGTGCAAATGCAGAGTAATTTCAGAGGAGTGACTAACCCAGGGCTAACGAGAAAGGACCACTCCAGTGGTGCCCTACACCAGTGTGTAAACCACCACTGAGGCTGCACTGGAGCTCTGCTAAGCGACGCACATCTTAGTAACAGGAGGGGAAAGAAAAGTATATTCATTGTTAAATGGCATTTTTGTTAGGTGCGGTAGAAATATAAACTGACCTTTACAAAGGTTTGAATGGGAAACATGGACATGGGAGGCTAGTTCTGGTCCAACCATCCATCAGCCTCTCCTCTGTTGGTATTTCTCTGTGTCCTTTTCTCTGCATGAAGGGTTAGGAAGTCAAAGGAGCTTTTTAAATATTTTATACTGTCCTTTCAGTTTTTTTCGGCCTCTGTTTAGAGAGCTGTTCACTCAGTACAGTTTGGGGTGAGGCAATGACTAAGGCACACGCTGTACCCGGCTCTCTGGGTAGTTCTGTGCGGCTGCTCAGCTGGGCTGAAATCACAGAAACATTTGGGTTGGAAAAGCCCTCTAAGACCATCAAGTCCAATCACTCCCCCAGCACTGCCAAGGCCACCACCAACCCGTGTTCCCCAAGTGCCGCATCCACACGGCTTTTAAAAACCCCTCCAGGGCTGGGGACTCCAACACTGCCCTGGGCAGCCTGTCCAGTGCCTGACCACTCTTTCCATGCAGAAGTTTTCCCAACACATAACCTGAACCCCCCCTGGCACAGCTGGAGGCCGTTCCCTCTCCTCCTGTCCCTTGTTCCTTGGGAGCAGAGCCCGACCCTCCCCGGCTTCCCCCTCCTGTCAGGGATTGCAGAGCCAGAAGGTCCCTCCTGAGACTCCTTTTCTCCAGGCTGAGCCCCCCCAGCTCCCTCAGCCGCTCCTGCTGCTCCAGCCCCTTCCCCAGCTCCGTTCCCTTCCCTGCACACGCTCCAGACCCTCAAGATCTTTCCTGAAGTGGCAGGGGGTTTGGGTGTTTGGGTTCTTCCATCCCAGCTGAACAGAACAAGTGGGACCTTGGGTGAGAAGCAGGAGAGAGACGATCTCAGGGGTGTGTTTGCCACCCTGGGATCCGTAAAGAGCTTGGACAACCACTCCACTGACTGCTTCAATCTGCTGACAAGGGGGTCCAGCCTGGGTGAGGTCATTCTCCGTGGGCTCCCATCTGTCCTGGCCCCACATCCCCCACAGCTCCCCTCGCTCAGCCGTGCCAGTTGCGCGCTGCTCCTGGAACGCTGGGATTTTGTTTACTACTCACCAATTTATTCCATTTTCAGTGTAAAATATAAAAAGTACGTGGGTTATAGCATCATAATTCACAGCCTGCTGATTAATAATACAGCTGACGGAACGAAATTGGGCTGCAAGCTCAAAGTGCTGAGGAAAGCTGGAATTTGGAGAGCAGTGTGCGTGTGTGGGGTAGGCAGCCTGCAGCCAGGAGAGGAGACTGCTGAGGCCAGAAACACTGCTTTCTGTTTTGCTGCCTCACACACAAAACCTGACTGTCACATCACCTTTGCCCTACCCCACCACACAACCTTCCATCCTTAGAGATGGTCAGGACTCGGCTGGAAAACTCTGTGAGGCAGAGGAGAGCAATTCCCAAGCGTTCCCCATCTGTGCAGAAGGAGGAAGGCAGCCCACAAAGTGTCAATTTCTGAAAGCACAATTTTTCCCCTGTGAGTCCTGTGATGCCCCCAAAGCCCAGCAGCCGGCCTTAGCACCTCTGGAAATGTGGCCAGTTTTACACCAGCTCATTTTACGGAATTAATTACAAAAATGAGAGTATTCTCTCTGCCTGTTGTGTCTGGGCCTGTGAAAGCATTAAGGATTCATCCCAGGCTGTGCTACCACAGGTCACTTGTAGGACAGCTACCAGCACTTTGCACCGTGTTCCAAGGGCTGACAAAATACCAGGGATGTGTCTGGAAAAGGTGGTGCTACGGGTGTTGAGGAGGGTGTGCTGAATGTACCCACTGGGAAATGACAGCGCTGGGCCGACTCGTGCCACTTCACGGGCGCTGACGAGTTCAGATCTGGCAGGGGATTTCTGAAACTCACTCGTGCTGAGGCGCTCGGGTCCTGTTCATTTCAGCAGCCAATGATTAAACTCCCTGAATATACTGGATAAGTCCTGTAATGGGAGACAGGGTAATATTATGCAAGACAAACATTTTGCAGTGGGTGTAACAGCATCTTCATGCGAGTGTGGTTAAATCCATCCCCAGACAGGGTCTAAGCCCCCCAGCAGAGTCTGAATTTCACCACCGTGCATTTTGGCTTCTCTGCCTGTGAGAGGGGTGAATTTCAGGCTCCAAATAAAACGCCGCACATGGTGTGATCAGACAATAAAAATGCTACCTCTGCCAGTGACAATTAGCATGGGAAGTGGAGACAGCAGAGAGAAGCACCCTCTTCCTGAAAACATCCAATAGTCCATGGCTGCAGCGGGAAGGCTGAATTACCGGGGTTCAGGCAGGACCAGTCTACACATCCCTACGTTTACCTTATCTGTGCTAGTGGCTGTCTTGCACAGGGAAGGGAGAGAGCCTGGGTTAAAAACCACACTGTGCCAGGGTGAAAAAAAAGAGATTTTTACAGCTCCAATTACTGGCACACACTTCAGGCACCAGCGCCGCCTGCTTTGATCAAGTGCGCCGGGTCCCTCCTCACCAATCACCAGGAAATTGATGTAAACACTCAGGCAGGTTTTTTTGAGAGCTTTGCTTCCCCCCGCTTAAAAAGAGACACAATTCCTTATGCTTGAGGGTGCAGCAAGGCCCGTGATTATCTGTTCAGGCTCCGCAGTGTTTAATTGAGTCGCTTATCATTTTATCATCCTGTCTCTCTTCATCCTGCTTGGAATCGTGCACGTGGCACCCACCTCACGCCAGAGAGAGCAGCTCCCGCCTCCATGAGAGTGATGGCACAGCTTCCTCATGAGGGAAAGAGCAGGGGCAGGCACTGAGCTCTTCTCTGTGTGACTGGTGACAGGACCCCAGGGAATGGCCTGAAGTTGTGTCAGGGGAGGTTTAGGTTGGGTATTAGAAACCCCCAGAGGGTGGTTGGGCACTGAACAGGCTCCCCAGGGCAGTGGGCACAGCACCAAGGCTGACAGAATTCAAGAACTGTTTGAGAAATACTCTCAGGTACACAGTGTGACCCTTGGGGATGGTCCTGTCCAGGGCCAGGAGTTGGACTTGGTGATCCTTGTGGGTCCCCTTCCAACTCGGCACATTCTGTAATTCCAAACACTCCCACAGGTGCCAAAACCTGCAGTTCATGGCACAGGTTGAGTTGCTCTGACACAATGCTTCACAATGATGAGGAGCAAACCACAGCAGCCTGCAGTTACTGCCTTTAATCATCCTGTTTGCAACAGAGCCCCTTTGCCCAGTCGGTGTTTGAAACTGATCCTGCCACACTGTCCTGAGCTTGTTGCTAGGCTGGTGTGGGAGACACTCCACAATGCTGCTCGTGGCACTGCCAGGGTTTGTTGTTCTTGCTGTGCCAGGGACAACTGCCAAGGTCCTGTGAGGTGCTGAGCAGTGCCCTGGTTTTTTGAAGCGCCAGAAATATCCAGTCTCTTCACCCAAACCAAACTCATATCAACCAAACCAGTGCCCAGCCTTGGAAAGAAAATATAAAAATGTGTTTATGTGCTATGATTACTAATTGAAAGAGGGAATAATAGAATCACAGGCTGGTTTGGGTTGGAAGGGGACCCTGTTCCACCACCCTGCCATGGGCAGGGACACCTTCCAGTATCCCAGGTAGCTCCAAGCCCCGTCCAACCTGGCCTTCAACACTTCCAGGGATGGAGCAGCCACAGCTTCTCTGGGCAACCTCAGCCAGGGGCCTCATTACCCTCAGAGGGAAGAATTGTTTCCTAATATCCAGCCTAAACCTACTCTCCTTCAGTTTGAACCATTCCCCCTTGTCCTGTCACTCTTGCATGTGCTCTTGTAAATAGTCTTGCCTGATCTTTCCTGTAAGTTCCCTTCAGGTGACTGGAAGGCCACAATTAGGTCACCCTGAATCCTCTTGTCTGAGCTGAACAATCCCAATTCTCTCAGCCTTTCCTCCATCCCTCTGATCAACTTGGTGGCCTCCTCTGGACTCGCTCCAGAAATCCCTGGCCTACTTGTTAAAACGTTAACAGCGTATGGCAGTGCCAAAAAAACCTCCTTGAGAGCGAAGGGTTCAGGCTGTGGAGGGAAAGCCCTCAAATGCCCGGCTCACTTACAGCCAGCGTGGATGCAGAGAGTGCTCCCACAGCACGGGGTCTGTGTGGCTCAGCCTCACCCCACAGCCCGGGTGGTGAGTTATTTTCTGTTCCCACACAGCACTTTGCACCTTGTTGGGCCATTCCAGCGGTGGAAACCTCTCTGCCGAACACCAGACCAGGACCCCTGAGTCGGAGCCAGGGGTGTCACCACGTGGTTTGCTGTACTGAAACCTTGAACCACGATGCCAGAACAACAGTCCTGTTGGAGAACACCTTTGCCCAAACATTCCTGTTGTCCCACACCGAGCTCTTGCCCATCCAGGACCCCTGGATGCCCTTGGATCTCCCTGGCCGTGTGTTCATCACCACCAGGGGAATAAGCTCCACACTTGGCACACAGGGCACGTGGAATCAGCTTCCCAGGGAGGTTTAGCAGTAACTGTTAATGCTCCTATTCCTCTTTCTCCTCTGTTTCGCTCCTTGCATTCACAGGCATAAGCACCAATTCAATACCTTCCTGCTCACGGGGTAAAGGGATGGGAACATTCATTTTCATCTTAGACAGCGAAAATAGTGGAGTGGTCTTGTTACAGATTCCTATACCACCACCAATTGTTTATACACCTCCATCTCCTCACGTGTAATTCCCCAGGAGTTTTAATTTACTGGGCCACTTTCTCTTTTATTTTTCCTTGCCACTTCCCCTGCAGCAGGGGAGGGAGGCTCCATTCCTCCAGCCCTAACAAAGCAGCACACTTGTCTGGAGGGGATCAATAACTATCGAGCTATCGTGCTTCCTCCACTTAGGCTGTTGAAGCAGCTTCCTTTAATTGTTCTTTCACACTGTAAATACAGCACACAGTGAATTTTCTTCCTTTAAGGCTGCTCAGTGGGTCAAGGCACTCATGGGTGGGAGGAGCTCAACTGCCTCACCTATGATCCATTACCCCTTCTCCGCTGGAAAGACCTCAGGAAGAGAGGGACGAGAGGACACTGCCGTGCTCCTGGGGCCAAAGCAGGTAACCTGGAATGGTCCCACAGGGACACTGGCTCGGTGCAGACCTGGAAACCCAAACGTTAATGCTGACAAGGGTCCAGGGAGGGGAAAGGGCAGAAAGCCCACCCTGGAGGGTCTGAGCGTGGGGGTTTGCCCCAGCTCACCCCTCTCCGATGTGAGAGAGGGGGCCAGGTAGGGTCCCCCTCCCTCGGCTCCTCGCGGGGGCTATGGCAGAAGAGGGGAACTCGATCCCCTCCGGCTGCTCCTCCCGGGGATGTCGGCGGGCACCGCACCTTGGGGCGACTCCTCCGGGGCGTGGGAAGGGGGGACCGGACCCCTCTGGGCGGCTCCTCCGAGGGATGGCGTGGGGTCACCGGGTCCCTCGTGCAGCTTTCCCCAGGGATGGCGGGGGCGGACCGGACCTTCCCGGCTCTTCCCCGGGATGTCGGGGGGCACCGGACCGCGTTGGCGGCTCCTCCCGGGGATGTCGGTGGGGGAGGGGGGACCCCGGACGTTGGGGTGGCTTCTCCCGGGGATACCGGGGGAGACCGAACCTTCCCGGCTCTTCCCACGGATGGGGGGGGGTTGTCCCGGGTCACATGGGGAGGCTCCTCCGGGGGATACCGAGGGGGATGCTGGACCCCTCTGGGCGGCTCCTCCGGGGGATACCGAGGGGGATGCCGGACCCCTCTGGGCGGCTCCTCCGGGGGATGGCGTAGGGGGAGGGCGCAGACCCCTGGGGCCGTTCCTGCTGGGGATGGCGTGAGGGAAGGGAGCAGACCCCTGGGGCCGTTCCTGCTGGGGATGGCGTGGGGGGAGAGCGCAGACCCCTGGGGCTGTTCCTCCCGGGGATGGCGTGGGGGGAGGGCGCAGACCCCTGGGGCTGTTCCTGCTGGGGATGGCGTGGGGGGAGAGCGCAGACCCCTGGGGCCGTTCCTCCCGGGGATGGCGCGGGAGAGGCGGGAGCGGACCCACCCAGCGGATCCCCACGGTGCTGGCGAGGGGCGACCGGACCTTGGTGCGGCTCCTGCGGGGGATGGCGAGGGGCGAGCGGACCCCTCGGGCTGCTCCTCCTGGGGGTGTCGCGGCGGGGGCGCAGGGGTGGGTGACCGGACAGGACGCCTGGCGCGGCTCCTCCCGGGGATGGCGAGGGGAGCGCCGGGCCGTGCCGCGGCTGCAGGCGGGGGCGCAGGCCCCTCGGTGCGGCCCCCGGGCTGCGGGGCAGCGCCTCGGCGGTCCCGCCCCGCAGGTGCCCCCGCGCGGCGGGGGCCGGTGCGTGACGTCAGGCGGGGCGGGCGCGGTGCCGGTGCCGGCCGGGCCATGGCGGAGCGGCGGCGGAGCGGCCCCGGTGAGTGAGCGCGGCGGCCCCGGCGCTGTCCCCGAGACCCGCGGGGAGCGGTGCGGGCAGCGGGTCCGCGCCCCGTGCGGGACCGCCCGCCGGGAGCGCCGCCGGTGTCGCCTCGTCCTTCCCCGCGGCTCAGCCGGGCGTGCCCGAGACCCCCTCCCCGGGATGGGAACCCGCGGGAGCGCCGGCTCGCTGCCGGAGAGGGCGGGCGGATGCACAGGCATTGCTGCTGCCCGGGGCTGTGCGGGCTCGGTGGGTCTTTGTGTGCCCGGTGGGGCTGTACGGGGTCTGTGTGTCTATATGTGCCCTATGTGTCTGTACGTGCCCCGTGGGTCTGTGCGCGCTGTATGTGTCTGTATGTGCTCTAGGGGTCTACAGGGGCTCTGGGTGTCTGTATCTGCTCTAGGGGTCTGTAGGGGCTCTGTGGATCTGTATGTGCTCTAGGGGTCTATAGGGGCTCTGTATGTGCTCTACGGGTCTATATATGGGCTCTGTGTGTCTGTATCTGCTCTAGGGGTCTCTAGGAGCTCTGTGTCTATGTGTGCTCTAGGGGTCTATATGGGCTCTATGTGTCTGTGTGTGCTCTAGTGGTCTATACGAGGTCTGTGTGTCTGTATGTGCTCTAGTGGTCTATACGAGCTCTGTGTGTCTGTGTGTGCTCTAATGGTCTATACGAGCTCTGTGTGTCTATAGGTGCTCTCTATACATGCCCTGTGTGTCTGTACTGGCTCCACGTATCTCTGTGTGAACCGTGGGTCTGTATGTGTTCTATGGGTCTATATGCGCCCTATGTGTCTATGCGTGCCTCGTGGGTCTGTACGTGCCGTATGGGTTTATATGTGCCCCGTGGGTCTGTACGTGCCGTATGGGTTTGTGCCCCGTGGGTCTGTACGTGCCGTATGGGTTTATATGTGCCCCGTGGGTCTGTACGTGCCCCATAAGTCTCTTCATACCCTGTGGGTCTGTAAGTGTCTATATGAGCCCCGTGAGTGTGTCCATGCTGTATGTGTCTGTATGTGCCCCGTGAGTCTGTACAGGCTCTGTGTGTCTATACATGCCCTATGTGTCTATATGTGCCCAAAGTGTCTGTATATACAGATTCGTGGGCTTGCAGAGGTAAACCCGCAGCTGAGCTCGTGTCAGCGTGCCCGGCAGGTGCCCGGAGCCCTTCCCTGTATCTGGAGAAAGAAACCTGCTTCCCTCCCTCTCCCCCCATCCAAGGCAGGCTGTGTTTGCTCTCGGTCACATTATTTGCTCTCACCTGAGCCAGACCCCCGCGTGGAGGTGGCAGGTGCTGACGGCCCGGGCTTTAATGGCATCAGACATGCTCGGTGTGCGAGGAAAGGTGTGTTTGGCTGCCGTGACAGGAGGCGCAGCACCTCGGGAAGATTCATCCCAGGCTGCTGTGGTGTGAGTAGCAGAAAGGCGGGCGCGGAAACCCGACCCTGGAGTCGCAGCGGCTCAGGCGGGCTGTCCCCACGGCGCTGCCCGGATGCATCCCCCAGCCCGGAGGTGTGGGGCTGGTCAGAGCAGAGGGTCCCCTGGTGTGCATCCCGAGCTCAGCCTTTTCTGGGTGTTGGAGGTGTTCAAGTACCTCTGTTTCCTGTCTCTTGTCAGTGTGCTCGGGGAATGTCGCGGCTGGAGAAGGTGATGTGCAACATCAGAGGTTTCTCTTGTTGAAGCAGCTGGGCTGGAGTGGACACACAAAGCCTGGCTGCTGCTGAGGGGGTCTCGGCTGTCTCTGCATTCGTCTCTGTGTTGCTTCTTCCTCACAGTAATTAGACACAACTAATCCTATCCGGCGCTGGGAACTTCCCAGCAAAGACGTGGTGGTTTTCCCTCTCCTGGTCTGCAGCAGGAGCCCAGCCTGCTACATAACCGGGCCTGGGGACCGTGGGATCAAGGGCTGCAACTCAGCCTTGCAGTGCCCTTCCTCCTTTTGGCTGGACAGGTGTCTGTCAGGTTGCTAGATTTACGCTGAATATTTTGAAGATAAATCTCACACCCAGAGGGTGAACATCAGCGTTCCCCCTCCCTGCAGAGGAGGAGAGGGTAAAGGGGCATGATCATCCATGGTCTGTTGATTCCTCTGTGCTTGGGAGGACCGTCTGTGTGAGCTTCTGCCCTCGCCTTGGAGTCAAAGCGAAGGGTCAGTCTCCCTTGGGGACGTGCGTTAGTGGAGGGCGTGGCAGTGCTGGGTTAATGGTTGGGCTCCGCGGTCTTGGAGGGCTTTTCCAACCAAAACGAGTCCGTGACTGAGATTCACCGCCGTCCTTTCCCTCCTCCAGCTGCGCCCACCCTGTTAGTGAGAGGACTGATAAAATCTGCAATCCCAATCAAGTAACCCGTGTTCAGCAAGAAGGGCAGTTGAACTGCCAACCTCTGGGCCAACCTCGAGCTCTCCAGGTTGAGTCCTCCATGCAGATGGTCTCTGTTTATCTTTTCTTTACTCTTAGAGACGTGAAGACCTGGGCTCCAGGAGCTGGATTAGCGTCTCATTCTGCTCCTGGGTGCTGGGCAGCAGGGCAGAATCGCCAGAATTGGCGTTGTGAGCTGAAATTAACTCTCAATTTTGCAGATGGCATGAGGCAACTCGCAGTTGAAGCTGTTTCAGGAGATGCCGTTTGTCTGCCCTTACTTGGGCATCTGAAAGCGTCTGTTCTGAGCTTCCCCTCACCAAATGGGGGATACAGGCACCTCCCAAATGGGAAACGTTTCGCTCTTTGGAAAGCTTCACACCCAGGGCAGGCAAACGGTTTTCAGGGTGCTGGTTCTGACTTGGATATCGGAGTTTGAGAGGTCTGAATTTAAGTGAGACGAATCTCACGCAGCGCCTGCCAACCTTGGTTTTTCGTCTTTTTGCCTTGATCTTTCCCTTTTTTTAGCATGGCCCTGCTTTTCCACGACCACTCAGGACTCCCTTGAAGCATTAAAAAAACCCTTCTGAAACTTTCCACGTCCTCAGGTGGGGGAGAGGTGCTGCAGAAATGCAACTGCAGGCAAGCGTTTGCAGCTCATCCTCCTGCAGACACACAAGCCTGGGTTAAAAAACCAGGCTGTTAATTTTGTGTTAATGGCTCTGAGCAGTGGTGAGTCGTCGTCGTCGTCCCCCCACCCTCCCCCCGTCCCGTACCTTGTGCCAACATTTAATTGCTCTCACTCTGGAGAGATGCTATCTCATTTCAAGGTTGAACTTAGCGCTAGCTTTGACTTGCGGAGGGGGGATGTTGTTGTGTCCTTGTCACAAAGGTGACTCCTCGCTCCCTTCACCTGCTCCTCAGGAGACTGAAGGCTGAGAGGCTCCTGCCTTGTACCCTTTTTGTGGCCACCCTTGGGGTGTCCCGGGTGTGACCACATTGCCCAGGTGCCCGCCTGGAGGCAGCCGTGACCTTGGCTGTGCCGCGTGTGGGTGTGAGCTCGCTTTCTGACTCTCTATGGATGTATTTCCCTTTGGAAATTGGCACCTTCGAGGACCTACTTTTGCTTTGGCTTTGCTCTGATGTATTATGCAAAAGAGATGCCCCACGCTCGTCCCAAATCCTTTTCTGGCCCTGGCAGAGATCCCTTCCCTGGCCTCGTGTGTTACATTCCAACGCGAAAACACGGTCTGTTGGACCACTGTGACCTCCACTGAGCTGATTTAGGTCTTCGTGCAACTGTGTCATCAACAAACCATCCTTTAGTTGCTGCGGTTTTTTCTGTGTTACAGATTTATGTTTAATATAATCCCCCGGAAGGAATCGCAGATGAGACTGAGCAGCGACAAAAAAATCCCAAAAGACGGTGCTTTGGTGCTGTTTTCCCTCTCTGATTTCACTTAGCAGCAGCCTCGCTGGGGGCTGTACCAGCACACGCCTAACGTGTGTGGAGTTGGTTACACCTGCTGTGAGATTCATCCCCCAAAATATTATGTGCTGTGGAGAATCACAGAATATTCTGAGCTGGAACGCGGGCAAACGCTGTGTTGAGGCAATAATAATGTCTTTCAGATGGACAATAAGTCTTCTAAATAGATCTAATTCCAGGAAACTCAGCTGGCTGATAGGAATTGTATTTTTAGTCTCCAGTTTGTGTATTTACCTGAAATTTCTGTCCTGCTGTTCTATCTGGAGCTGACCCCGGGTTGCCTGCTGCTCCTGGCTTTCACCTAAATATTGTGGCTAAACGAAGTTTCTGAGCTTCAGTGGTTGGGTTTTAAAGTGCTTTATTTTGGCAGACGTTCGTCAGTACTGAAGCTCCTGTCATTCAGGGGCTTTAAGGCACGTTGCACAGGAGGTTGTTGGGAAGGACCCTGTTTTGCACAACGGGGTGCACGTGGTTAATCTGTAGGCTGGGTTTCTCTCGTCCTCCTCGGTAACTGTTTTATCCCATCGCAGCACAACACTCTCTTCCAGTTTTACTGATGGTGCCTAATAGTGAATCTGGCAGCTATCTAATTCTCTATTCCTAGCGTGCTTAAAAAGTGCCTTATTTTACAATTAATTCTGTTGGCTGTACAGATTTAATGGATTCTTTTAGAGGTTCTCATCAGTCACCGACCTTGGACATTTCTTTTTCAGTGCCGTTTCTTTCTCCTTTTCTGTGCCTGGAAAGATCACGTTTCCAGGCATTTCGCACGTCTCGTTTTTGCCGGAATGGCTTTTTCATTGTTTATAAATTCTGCTGCTTTTCCGTGTTTGTAACTTTTGGGGTTCTTTGGTGGAAGCTTTAAGCCAGTCCCTTACTCTCAGTGACGCCAAACAGCTGCTTTGGGCTTTGTGAAATTTGCCCTTTTAAATTTAGACA